CAAGCTCGTGGGTCAATGGCGCAAACCCCAATCACGGAGAAGGATCTTGGGGTGACTATCATGCCGAGCACATCACCTGAGGCACACATCAACCAAATTACTACTGTAGCATATGGGCATCTAGGAAACCTAAGAATAGAGCTTCCACAACTAAGTAAGGAGTCATTTCACAACACTGTACACCATGTACTTCACGCCCAGTATGGAACCCACACCTGGTCAAACATAGGAAATTAACGAAAGTGCAAAATTTGCAACAAGATTAGTCCCAGAGCTAAGTTCTGAGAGAAGAGGTTAATGGAACTCGACCTGACGACACTGGAGGAGAGTAGGGATAGGGGGATATGATAACATACAAAATACTGAGAGGAATTAATAAGGTGAACAGGGGCAGAATGCTTCAGAGATGGTATACAGGAACAAGAGGGCACAACTGGAAGATGAAAACTCACATGAGTCATAGGGAAGTTAGAAATTATTTCTTCAGCTTTAGAGTTGTCAGAAAGTGGAACAATCTGGAGAGTGAAGCAGTATAGGCGGCATCCATACATAGCTTTAAAAAAAGGTACGATAAGGCTATTGAATCAGGGAGAGAGTGGACCTAGTAGCGATCAGCGAAGAGGCGAGGCCAGGAGTTATGAATATACACAGTAACACACACACCCACACACACACACACTTCTCTCTCTCTCTCTCTCTCTCTCTACGTTACATAATAATAGCAATCACACGTTAAAAAATAACAATTGCCCTCTAAGAGAACTGACAGACTTCCTCCCTTTAATCTCCTGAATTTGGTGACGGAATAGACAATGCCTTGGAGGGGGTCTAAGGTGTGTTGGGTGAGGGAAACGGTACTTAACGACTGTTTACCTCCACTATTACGACTGTTGACACTCGGCACTAACAAGGTGTGTTCCTATCGACGCGCTCTGAGGAACGGCCACACCTGCTGGGTTCCGACAACACACAAGGCGAATTCACAACTAACCCGCTAATTGGAGATGAAACAAGATGACATTTCGGCCAGTAACAGACCCTTATCAAGTGAGTTGCGAAATTGCCACCGCCAGTGTTGTGACTTTTATTCCTCACAGAGACAAGAATCTTTGAGTAATTCTCATTTGCAGCCCGTCACTCATAGATCATTTAATACAAAATATCCCAGAAATTGGAGATAAAAGAATACAGATTTTTGGTCCTCGAATGAAACGTTGTTCAGTTTCATGTCCAATTAGCAGGTTAGTTCTAAATTGTTCCAGCCACTGGAACAATTTACAACTTTTATTATCGATCCCGTAGCTTTTAGTTCAAAAGTTTGCCATGTCAAACAAGAGGCAGGTGTGAGGTACATTAATAGGCTAGGATGAGGTGCTTAAGGCAAGCGAGTGCGTGGTAACGAGGCCACCTTAGTCTTCACAATGGATTACTTCGCTGTAACTAACCCGCTGTACAAACCAATTAGGTTAAACCATTACGGTGGCTTATGTCAACTCCCACAGTTGTTTCTGGCGTAATTACGATACCTTTTTGTAATTTTAAAGACTCATCCTCCAAGGGATTTTCTTCGCTATGGGATTAGTGGTCTCAACCCATGTTATGTTTCCTCTCTCATTATTTTGGATTAACTTTAATCTTTAATGGCTTAGGTTTAGAGCAATATTCTGGCGAGTTTCAACAATTCTTTTTTTTATCTAAATAATTACAGGGGTGAATATCTCTTTTGTTCGTAGCTAATGTTATTTCCTCTCCTTTCATGTGTTAGCTTTAAATCTAAAGACATCACAACCTAAACTGCACTTTCATTATATGTATGAAGATTATTATATGGAAGTCCCACTGAATTGGTGTCTTTGTCTATCAGATGTTTCTCCTGGTCGACATCATGACTCAGGAAATCGTAAAAACACGACTACAAGCAAATCACTGTTGCACTCGCCATGGGTTGAAGTCCCACCCGTACCGTGGTCTGGTCGCAATCTTTCTAAAGCGTTTACTGGAGATTTTAGTCAAATGTTTAAATCTCGGGTGTAAACATTGTCCTTGATTAATTAGATACATGTGCAACACTTGGGTATCTGTATCGAGGAGAAGAATGGTGAAGATCAGGAGTCGATGTAATCCGATTAGATCGACTCAACGCTGAGGGACTGATTACCTCAAACTCCTTTTGATCTTCACCATTCTTATTTATTTAGGACTGATGAAGCCACTGCGTGGGGAAACGTTTCCTCAGTAAAGATACCCAAGTGTTCCACATGTGTCTAATTCATCAACTTGTCGGTTCTCTGAATCATTTATCCACATTGTCCTTCATGTACCAGTTAGGTGATACCGACAACGCTAATTCTGAATCATTAAGCAAATATCCAAACCTATTTACCTGACATTCCACATGAGATGTATGACCTTAACGGGTTTATCGCTTACCCTCAAATGTAGTAGTAATAATTTTTAGTTTTACGATGATTATTTGATAGCAGTGCTTTTCTGTTTCCAGGTCTGCGTGCTAACTGGGATGAATGGTGGACCTACGACGGCATATCAGGTCTGTTCCTCAACGATGTATTTGAATAAGTTGGAGAATTAGACATTTCATTTGGGTATCTTTTCTCAAAACTGATGGACTGGACACATCGTCTTAAGGCTGAGGGACTAATTACCTCAAACTCGTTCTCATCTTCCACCATTACTCTCTGTATTTGACTAAGGAAGCCACTTGTTGGCGAAACGTTTCCACAGTGAAGATTCCCAAATATTGCAAAAGTTTTCACCTCAAGGGAGGTTCCTTGATCCTGACGAGGGCTCTTGATCCAGTTCCCTGAATTGCGCTTAATTGCTTTCCATCCTAAACAGGAGCTGTATATTCCCCATGATAATAATAATAATACAAAAGGATCTAATTCTTCAACTTGTCGGTTTTCTAAATCATTTATACCACAGTTTAGAAAGTACGAAGTTACACAGAGAAATCAGTATTAAAGGAAAGTTTAGGAAAAAATTTACTCTCTCTTGGTACATTAACTAGACAGAAACTGACGGATGATGCTCTTGGTACATTAACTAGACAGAAACTGACGGATGATGCTCTTGGTACATTAACTAGACAGAAACTGACGGATGATGCTCTTGGTACATTAACTAGACAGAAACTGACGGATGATGCTCTTGGTACATTAACTAGACAGAAACTGACGGATGATGCTCTTGGTACATTAACTAGACAGAAACTGACGGATGATGCTACAGGACCAACCAAATGTCGTTTAAGGTTTCCTCTTTAGATTATGGACTGTCTGAGATCTTGAGAATTTTTCCAGCTACTGCACTGTCATTTTCATTTTTCTTCTTGTAAATGTTATCAAGTAAGGTGAGTAATATTGCCTCTGAGCTTCACTGTAACTTACAGCTGACGTGTACACTCTGGAGAGTTGCAAGACCTCGTTAAACTCTGTATTTTCAGATGAGGAGAAGCGATGTTGTTTTTCTGAAGATATAACAGACAGAATGCGTCGTTGAGACTTGGAGATATGCCAGTGATTTCGTTGACACTAAAAGACAAAACAGACTAGGTTGTCAAGATCGCGAGACTGTAATATTCATTATAATATAATCTGAAAAGCATATTTTAAGTCGAGATAGGTAATTCTGAATACCCAATCACTGCTAAGCGAGAGTATTCTTACTAGTCTGTAATTCTGTAGACAATAAATTAAGGGAGTAGACTGTTGCAGGATTATTCTGGAAGGAGTAATGAGAATGTCTGATCTCAGCTTAACAGTAGCTAAGGTAAAATAACTTCAGAAATCAAGAAATATGGTGGCTGTTGTTAACCTGGAAATTATAGTAAATGAATTAAATGGATTATTCGTAAAACGTACGAGTTTATTAAATATAGGTTGTATTAGCGTTTGTAGAAGTGATGAGGATGCCAAAATAAGGTGTAAGGTGGATTGAAAACTGAAGGACTGGAAGAAGAAGCAAAGCTTTTTATTGTTATTTTTTTTTTGATACCGGATGAAGGTACAAGAAGGAAAGAACTGGAAAAAAGGCAAAGATGGTATACGATATACAATATAATAATGACATAACAAGTAAACTGATTATCTGGAAAAACAGAGGTAAAAACACTGGTGATAAAATGCAAATGAAGGAATGAACGAGTTAGTATCTGCACATTTTGTTGAGCATAAACATTGGATGTACCTATTGCCAGTCTGTGTTACAGATGTTCATATATCATCCTTTGTCAAGCTGAGTTGTAATCATAACCGTAAGTTATCATTATTATTTTATACCAGTAAATGCACAAATCATAGATTTTATTAGTGTGTGTAATAAATGAGTAAATATACAAAATATGCACTGGATTTTGGCCTTATTTTTGCATCTAATGAGGCAGCTAATTATCCTGAGATAGCCAGTGCGTTTCGTAATTTAGAGATTTGTTTTTATTAACATACTGCAAGACAATGCTAATACGTTCAAAAATATTTTATTTGGTTCCTCATTAAAGCCAATTAATCGTAATTGCCTTTAATGGTCTGCTAAAACGCATACTGACTTAAGAAAGGATGATGAGGATCAGCATATCGTTAAAACTGAATACAGTAGCTTTTTTTAACAAAAAATTATTGAGTAAATATGGAAGTTACTCAGTAATTGCAGTAACTAAACCTAACTCATTCAGAACTCTCAAGGGGTCGTAAACATTTATATTATTAAAACGAAAGAACAAGGGTAATACAAATCTGCTTTGGTAGATTTCCACCAAGGCTGCAACTCCGTCAGTTTCAAATTGTTTGATAAAATCCTTCAGGCCTGGGAGCTAGCAGCCTCATGAGAGCTGTTGTCACTACTCTGGGATCGGCAGTTTACAGGTTTCATTAGTTGACCACTATATTGACATCTAAAACAGACACATTGTGTTTTTCCCTATTAAAAACTAAGTGGACATTGCAACTGAGTAGTACGGCAAGATGTGGAAAAACACATTTTTGTAGAGTTCAGGACATTTATTAAAGGGAAAACTTTGCTAAGAATGGCTGGACATTATATACAAGTTAAAAGCCTTTACCATGAGTACTTACGTTGAATTAATCAAGTGTGCTGGGTCCTGTTTGTCTACTAAGGTCATTGATGATCATTTTGGTTTCCTGTATGAGAAATTCTAAAAAATTTGACTTTCCTGTAAACATCACTTGCATCATACAATTTATGTATTTATTATATAAATGTTCAATGACATGATCTACTCACAAAAAATTGGAATGCAAGAAATCTTTTTCAACTATATTAAGTAATTTAAACATCAAATTACTTCAAATAAGATTTCTACACCTCAGTGCCAGACGAATGATATACCTTTATATACCTTCTCTATGGTCATATATTGGAGGAGATGCTGACTAAGCATGGTATGAATTCATTGGTCACCGCCATAAGATTCACGAAGGAAGGTGAGGTACAGTAGAGCGAGTCATTCCATTTTTGGAGACATATTTAATGGAAAGTCAGTATTTGTAAATCAGTGCTTTTTGAAACCCTGTTAGAATGCTCTCTTATACAATTTCTTAAACCATCTAACATGAATTAAACAGTGAATTAAGTTTTGTGAAGTAATCATTCCTTTTTATCTCTCATAAATATCTGTGTACATTTCTCACACTCGGTTTACAGCAAATTTCTCGGTTAGGTTAAATTAGGTTAGATTGGTATCTATCCATTATTACACACTACGACGGAAATAAATGAAATAAGATAAAGGCGATAAAACGTTCTGCCGCAAGAAAAGAAAAAGGGCAACCACCAACCAGAGTACACATAACTGTGTGAGGGTTTTCACTATTTAACCCTTAAACTGTCCAAACGTAGATCTACGTTTGCTCGCACAACGCTCCGAATGACCATTATCAGTCAGCCGTTTGACTGTCTTTACAACAGTGAAACTCTGTCTGTGATTAAGAAAATTTATCTTAGTTTATTTCTAAACCGGAATACATATGTAAGTTTGTCAACACTTTAATTCAAAAAAATATAAAGAAATTAGTATGTACTCTCAAAACTTTCCTGGAGCTTCCTTGTAATGATAAACCTTTAACGTCCCTCAAGATATCAAGCAACTTAAAGGGAATGCTCCTTAAAAACAAAAGCACAGTTAAATAATAATTGGTGATAAATCTTTCAAATTATCACTACTGTGCTTATTACCTTCACTAAGAAATATATTTAACCTTTACATAGGAGAGACCTTGAAACAGTTTGGTATGGGACTGAAATACCACAAATATTTTATAACTACTGGAGAGGAGTCCAGTGTTATATTTATTGATTTTAGGAAAACAAGTCACTGTGAAAACTGAACGATGACAAAAAATTACATATTTGTATATCTTTTCTTCTGATGCAATATAAATTTCAAACTCCAATGAAAGATGACTGTGGTGTTCCCTGAAAGCTTTAATGAATTTGTTTTCTGTGCAGGTACCTTCTATACGTACGTTGAACCTGCATCTCACTATATATCAACTGTATTTTGCCTTCGAAACTATAATAATAATTTATGCTGGATAAACAATAGAAGTCTATTTAGAATTTTATGAACTGGTTGTGTACGCTGTTCATTTTGTCCCTTTACTTATTTATGGCTCTGTCATCATATTTTTATGCATAAAGAGCATGAACATAAATTAATTTAGGATTTTTTTTCTATTAGAGGTTACCCTTAAGACTGTACCATTAATGGTGTAGTGATTTCGGCATAGTCGGAAGATTATATTTTGGGTTTAGGTACACTTCCAACCTGGGGTATAATGCTCGTTCAACATTCCGCTGGCTGTCATCTTAACCGCAGACAATGTCGCACTGTTGTAAAGACACTCAAATAGCTTTATAAATAATTTCGCTTGTTTGCTAATTGTTTAGCATTTTAAAATCTACTTCGAAGTATGGTGCATGTGGCAGGATGATACTACGTCACTTATCACAAATAAGCCTGGTACTCCGGGATATGGAGAAACAATGTTTAGCTTTGGCTAGGCGCCCATACTTATCAGGGTCTCGATGTGTGGCGGAAGTAGTGTACTTAGATGCCGAATTCGCATGTTTGAATCCTGATCTGAACAAAGACAAACGGGAAAACCATTAGAAATGAGAATTTGCCAACACCATTATTCGATACGTATAGCACAGGAGTCGAACGCGATTTTCAGCCATATTAGAGCTTGTGATAACTTTTCAAACTGGAAGGAACAAGAGTCATCTTCCCTTGTTCCTCTTGGCTTGAAAGGAATATTGTAGACTCGGCAATTATTAAGCATGATGGGAATTCATTATACAATATCAGTGACGGGTTGTTCAAATTAGATGCGTGTTTAGTTGAGGCAATAGTACACAGTCTAAAATTGGGCTCTTATACGAATGCATTAGACTGTCTTAAAAGTAATGCCACACCTAGGAATCAGGGCCTATTTTTCCTGCAGTATCTGAAAGTTGAACTTGAGGTTACCTCAGAATTATGTGGGTTGAATAACTGTGGCCATCTTCCTT